TCCGAGGCGGGCCCAGCCCAGCAAGAGCGAGAGCCCCTCTCGCTTTTGCCTGGGCGGGGCCTCCCGGAGAGACGCCCCCAAAACCTCACCGAGGGGGGGCGAGGAGGGGGGAGCGGCCCAGGAGGAGGCGGGGCACCTTGCCTCGGACCTTGGCGGCGCCTCGCCGAGAGTCCAGCGATGCCAACGATTCTGGAGGAGGAGGAGGAGGAGGAGGAGGAGGAGGAGGAGGAGGGGGAGGAGGAGGAGGAGGAGGGGAAGGAGGAGGAGGAGGAGGAGGAGGAGGACGAGGAGGAGGAGGAGGAGGAGGAGGAGGAGGAGGAGGGGGAAGAGGAGGAGGAGGAGGGGGAGGAGGAGGAGGAGGAGGAGGAGGAGGAGGAGGAGGAGGAGGAGGAGGAGGCGGCCCAGGCACCGATCGGCGACGAATAGGCGGTTAGTGGTCGATGCACTGCCCCCACGAGCCTGCGGCCCCCCTGCTCGGTGCCGCTGCCCGTCCTTGAGCAGCGAGCCTGGGGTGACTTTCGGCGGCGCGCCGGGGGTGGAGGCGAGAGGGAGCAGGCCTTTTCTCAGAGGGCGGCCGGACTTCTCAGAAGCCGCTCGGCCTTCCGAGAAGGCCCCCCGTGGCTGCGGAGGTGGCTTGGGAAGCCTCTCGGAAGGCTGGAGGCCTTCGGAGCCCTCTGAGAAGGACCGCCCCCTCTCTCGGAAGCCTGGTGGGGCCTCTAGCGGCCGCTCGGGACGACCTCGTCACCCCTGGACCGCTCTCGGCAAGGCGCAGCTAAAGGAGGCATCCCCGGCCCAGGCTGGAAAACCGCCAAGAACCTGGCGCCCACTCTCTGCCTCCCCCTCCCACTGGACGCACCGCCGAGACTGGCACCCCTGAGGGAAGGCAGAAGGAGCGCAGAAGGAGGGCAGAAGGAGGGGCAGAAGGGAGGGAATGGGAGGAGCAGGGGGTATGGAGGAGGAGGAGGAGGAGGAGGAGGAGGAGGAGGAGGAGGAGGAGGAGGACGAGGACGAGGAGGAGGAGGAGGAGGAGGAGGAGGCGGAGGCGGAGGCAGAGGCGGAGGCGGAAAAGGCGGAGGAGGAGGAGGAGGCGGAGGAGGAGAAGAAGAAGGCGGAGGAGGAGGCGGAGGAGGCGGACGCGAAGGAGGCGGAAGGACGGGGCCCTTCCACGCAGATGGCCTCCGTCTCGGCGCCGCTCTTCTGTGCCAACATGGCCTGCCGGGCGGAGCGGGGCGCGGGGCGAGACGAGCCGGCGCCCTCGGCCGAGCACGCCCCGACCTCGAGCAGCGGCGACGACGAAGACGGGCCCAGGCCCAGAGGAGACCCAGGAGTGCCAAGCGGCGAAGGAGCGAAGGATGGTGAGCCCCATCCCCGAACTGGTGGGGCTTCGACTGCACTGACAATCCAAGGCTCAAATCGGGGATTTGTTATATACATATATATATATATACATAAAAAACTCGCCGGCCCAACGGGCCAGAGGCATGCTAAGATCTCCGGTAACTGCAAACAGTATTCCCACTTCGCGCGCGCGCGGAGCGGCCACTGGGGGTCCCCAGACGAACAGTACCCCAGGCGGTCCCGGGCCGGTTCGGGTCAGAGATCCCCAGCCGGGTCGGGTCAGGGCTCCGAGATGCCACAAGATCGCTCCAAGATGCCTAAGATTGCCCCCAGACGCCCCAAGAGCCTTCCAGAAGCACTCCCAAGAGGGCCCCAAGAGGTAAACTTCATTGATTTTCCTTCGGTTTTGGACAGATTTGGGCGTTTCCTCCTTATTGGCTTCCCGACGCCACAAGACGGCCCAAGAGGTCCCCAAGGTCGCCCCCCAAAGAGGGTCCAGGAGGGCTCCTAGAGAGCCCCAAGACGGCCCAAGGGCGCTCCAGGGCCGCTCAAGACGACTCAAGACGGCCCTAGAAGACCCCAAGAACGCCCCAAGAGAGGACCCAGAGGGGGAACACGAAACAACATTTCGAGCCCTCGGCCATGAGCAGCCCCCCAGGAGGTCCCCAGAGGTCCCTAAGAGGCCCCAAGAGGCCCCCAACAGGCGGTCAGGAGGCCGCCGAGAGGCCCCCAAGAGCCCCCCAAAGGCTCCAGGTAAAGACGTCCCCGAAAGCCTCGGAGAACTCCCAAGAGCTTCCTGTGCACTGCCTCCCGGTGCGCGAAAATGGGCCGGCGGAATGAACGAAGCGATTCTATAATTATATGTGTATATATATACATATAGAGAGAGAGGCTCAGTCATACACCGACACATATGTACATCCATCCATCCATTCATCCATCCATCCATGCACGTACACATACACATACACATACACACATACACACATACACACATACACACATACACACATACACACATACACACATACACACATACACACATACACACATACACACATACCCATACACATGCACATGCACATGCACATGCACATACATATATAGATACAAGCGTGCATACGTACATACGTACATACGTACATACGTACGTACGTACGTACGTACGTACATACATACATGCATACATGCATACATACACACGTACATACACACATACATACACGCATACATGCATACATGCATACACACATACATACATACATACATAAAAGCATACATACATGCATGCATGCATGCATGCATACATACGTACATACATACATACACGCACGCATGCATGCATGCATGCATGCACACATACATACATGCATACATACACACAGGGCAATACAATACAATACAGTACACTGCAATACAACTCACTACACTACAATACAATACAATCCACCACTACACAATACAATACGGTCCAATCCAATCCAATTCAATACATACATACATCCACACATACATACATATATACGTATACACATACATACATAAACACATGCGTACCTACATACACACATACATACACACATACAGACACGTACACACACATATACATATATGCATACACACATACGCACATGCATACATGCACACATACACACATGCATACATACACACATGCATCAATACATATACACACACTCATACATACATATGCATACATACAAACATACATACATGCATGCATGCATACATACGCGCATACATGCATGCATGCCTGCATGCGTGCCCACATAAATGCATGTAAACATACGTGCATACATATACAGATGTGCACATCGATATGTGCGAGTGTTATCTTCATCTAGATATCCCTATGTTTGTTGATGTATACGATGAAGAGGCGACCATCCTCGATACGGGTGCGTCCGGATATCTCCCCTCAATCGGTGTGTGTGTATCCCCGAGCTTCCTCCGTATACCTTTGCTGGGGGAGGCCACGCCCGCAGCCAGCCCAGCTTCGGTGTTGCTCCTCTTGTAGTTACCCTGGGAGCGCCTGGTCTCCTCGCGACTCCATCGGACGACCGAGCCTCCTGCACCCTATATTCAGAAGGGCGCTGCGCAACTCCCTGAAGCGCCGCTTTGCAGGCCTCCTCATGTAAGCCCAAGACTTGGATGTGTATCTGTACGTGTATGTGCGTAAGTGTGTGTATATACCTAGTTATCTATACATCTATACACAAATAACTGTATAGGAATTGGGGCCAGGGCCAGGGTGGCTGGGGCGGGGGCGGGGCTGGGGCTGGGGCTCCCGAGCCCAATGACGCACCAACACGCAAACCCGTCAGGGAACTAGCCCGCCACCAAGCTCGACAGAAGGACACGGCGCAAACATTCCATTCAGCTCATCATTTTGCCGAAGGCGACTGCTGACACCCTACTTCCCCTCCTCCTCCTCCTCCTCCTCCTCCTCCGTATCCCCTCCTCCTCGTCCTTCCCTCTCCTCACTCCTCATCCTCCCTCCTGCTTCCTTGAGGAAAAGCTCACAAGCGTCCCAGATCGGCGGCACAGGCCGGGGGCTTCTACAACATATAACATATATATATATATATATATATATAAAAAAAAGCTGTACCAGCACAATGAATATAATGAAACCGGAGAAAAACCTCAATTCAAGACTTTTTAGGGCTGTACGGCTATGGAGCTATTGGGCAAAAGAGCGATGGGGCTATGGGGATATAGGGCTATGGAACTATAGGGCTATAGGGCCATAGGGCTATAGGTCTATAGGGCTATAGGGCCATGATGCCATAGGGCCACAGGGCTATAGGGCTGTAAAGCTGTGGGGCTATAGTGGCTATGGGGCCCTGGGGCCATACGGTCATAGGGCTATGAGTCTATACGGCTATGGGGCTAAAGGGCTGTAAGACAGAATGGGCTATGGGGCTTTTGGGATACAAGGCTATGAGGTTTAAAGGACTATAAGGCTATAGGCATATAGAGCTATAGGGATATAGGGATGTAAGGCCATGAGGCTATAGAGCTATAGGGCTGTAGGAATATAGGGCCATAGGTCTATAGGGCTATAGGGCTATAGCGCTATAGGGCTATAGGGCTACGGGGCTGTAGGGCTATAAGGCCATAGGGCATTGGGGGCTATATGGATATAGGCCGATAGGGCAATAGGACTATAGGGCTATAGAGCTATAGGTCTCCAGGGCTCTAGGGCTCTATGGCTCTAGAGCTATGAGGCTATAAGGCTATAGGGCTATAGGGCTATAGGGCTATAGAGCTATGGGGCTATAGGGCTATAAGGCTAAATGGCTATAGGGCTATATAGGCACCCGGGCACTCAGGTACCTGGGCACCCAGGTACCTGTCCGCCTGCAAACAGTATTCCCACTTCGCGCGCGCGGAGCGGCCACTGGGGGTCCCCAGACGAACAGTACCCCAGGCGGTCCCGGGCCGGTTCGGGTCAGAGATCCCCAGCCGGGTCGGGTCAGGGCTCCGAGATGCCACAAGATAGCTCCAAGATGCCTAAGATTGCCCCCAGACGCCTCAAGAGCCTTCCAGAAGCACTCCCAAGAGGGCCCCAAGAGGTAAACTTCATTGATTTTCCTTCGGTTTTGGGCAGATTTTGGCGTGTTCTCCTTTTCGGCTTCCCGACGCCACAAGACGGCCCAAGAGGTCCCCAAGATCGCCCCCCAAAGAGGGTCCAGGAGGGCTCCTAGAGAGCCCCAAGACGGCCCAAGGGCGCTCCAGGGCCGCTCAAGACGGCCCTAGAAGACCCCAAGAACGCCCCAAGAGAGGACCCAGAGGGGGAACACGAAACAACATTTCGAGCCCTCGGCCATAAGCAGCCCCCAGGAGGTCCCCAGAGGTCCCTAAGAGGCCCCAAGAGGCCCCCAACAGGCGGTCAGGAGGCCGCCAAGAGGCCCCCAAGAGCCCCCCAAAGGCTCCAGGTAAAGACGTCCCCGAAAGCCTCGGAGAACTCCCAAGAGCTTCATGTGCACTGCCTCCCGGTGCGCGAATCTGGGCCGGCGGAATGAACGAAGCGTTTCTATAATTATGTATATATATATATCGAGAGAGAGGCTCAGTCATACACCGACACATATGTACATCCATCCATCCATTCATCCATCCATACACATACACATACATATACACATACACATACACATACACTTACACATACACATACACACATACCCATACACATACACATACACATACACATGCACATGCACATGCACATGCACATACATATATAAATACAGACGTGCATACGTACATACGTACATACATACATACATACATACATACATACATGCATACATATATACCTACATACACACATACATACATACATACACACATACATACATACATGCATACATACATACATACATACATACATACATACATGCATACAAACATACACACGTACATACACACATACATACACGCATACATGCATACATGCATACACACATACATACACACATGACAACATACATCAATGAATGCATGCATACATACATACATACAAACACGCACGCATGTATGCATGCACACATACATGCATACATACACACAAGGCAATACAATACAATCCAGTACACTGCAATACAACTCACTACACTACAATACAATACAATCCACCACTACACAATACAATCCGATCCAATACAATCCAATTCAATACATACATACATCCACACATACATGCATGTACACGTATACAAATACATACATAAGCACACATGCATACATACATACACATACATACACACATACAGACACGTACACACATACATACGCATACACACATACACACATGACAACATACATCCATGAATGCATGCATACATACATACATACAAACACGCACGCATGTATGCATGCACACATACATGCATACATACACACAAGGCAATACAATACAATACAGTACACTGCAATACAACTCACTACACTACAATACACTAAACTCCACCACTACACAATACAATCCGATCCAATACAATCCAATTCAATACATACATACATCCACACATACATGCATGTACACGTACACACATACATACATAAGCACACATGCATACATACATACACACATACATACACACATACAGACCCGTACACACATACATACGCATACACACATACACACATGAATACATGCACACATACACACATGCATACATACATACATGCATACATACATATACACACATACATACATGCAAACACACATACATGCATGCATGCATACATACGCACATACATGCATGCATGCCTGCATGCGTGCACACATACATGCATGTAACCATACGTGAATACATATACAGATGTGCACATCGACATGTGCGAGTGTTATCTTCATCTAGATATCCCTATATTTGTTGATGTATACGATGAAGAGGCGACCATCCTCGATACGGGTGCGTCCGAATAGCTCCCCCCAATCGGTGTGTGTGTGTATCCCCGAGCTTCCTCCGTATATCTTTGCTGGGGGAGGCCACGCCCGCAGCCAGCCCAGCTTCGGTGTTGCTCCTCTTGTAGTTACCCTGGGAGCGCCTGCTCTCCTCGCGACTCCATCGGACGACCGAGCCTCCTGCACCCTATATTCAGAAGGGCGCTGCGCAACTCCCTGAAGCGCCGCTTTGCAGGCCTCCTCATGTAAGCCCAAGACTTGGATGTGTATCTGTACGTGTATGTGCGTAAGTGTGAGTATATACCGAGTTATCTATACATATTTACACACAAATAACTGTATAGGAATTGGGGCCAGGGCCAGGGTGGCTGGGGCGGGGGCGGGGCTGGGGCTGGGGCTCCCGAGCCCAATGACGCACCAACACGCAAACCCGTCAGGGAACTAGCCCGCCATCAAGCTCGACAGAAGGACACGGCGCAAACATTCCATTCAGCTCATCATTTTGCCGAAGGCGACTGCTGACACCCTACTTCCCCTCCTCCTCCTCCTCCTCCTCCTCCTCCTCCTCCGTTCCCCCTCCTCCTCGTCCTTCCCTCTCCTCACTCCTCATCCTCCCTCCTGCTTCCTCGAGGAAAAGCTCACAAGCGTCCCAGATCGGCGGCACAGGCCGGGGGCTTCTACAACATATAACATATATATATATAGAGAGAGAGAGCTGTACCAACACAATGAATATAATGAAACCGGAGATAAAACTTAAATCAAGACTTTTTAGGGCTATACGGCTATGGGGCTATTGGGCAAAAGAGCGATGGGGCTATGGGGATATAGGGCTATGGAACTATAGGGCTATAGGGCCATAGGGCTACAGGTCTATAGGGCTATAGGGCCATGATGCCATAGGGCCATAGGGCTATAGGGCTGTATGGCTATGGGGCTATAGTGGCTATGGGGCTCTGGGGTTATGGGGCCATGCGGTCATAGGGCTATGAGTCTATACGGCTATGGGGCTACAGGGCTGTAAGACAGAAAGGGCTATGGGGCTTCTGGGATACAAGGCTATGAGGTTTAAAGGACTATAAGGCTATAGGCATATAGAGCTATAGGGATATAGGGATGTAAGGCCATGAGGCTGTAGGGCTATAGGGCTGTAGGAATATAGGGCCATAGGTCTATAGGGCTATAGGGCTAGCGCTATAGGGCTATAGGGCTATGGGGCTGTAGGGCTATAAGGCCATAGGGCATTGGGGCTATAGGGATATAGGCCTATAGGGCAATAGGACTATAGGGCTATAGAACTATAGGTCTCCAGGGCTCTATGGCTCTAGAGCTACGGTGCCGTATGAGGCTATAAGGCTATAGGGCTATAGGGCTATGGGACTATAGGGCTATAAGGCTAAATGGCTATAAGGCACCCGGGCACTCAGGTACCAGGGCACCCAGGCGGGCCGCGGAAATCGGTGGCAAACCGAGTAACCTCACCTAGCCGTATAAATCCGCTGGACCCCTACAGAGGCAAGCTCTGACTTGGGAAATACCTGCATGCGTGGAAAACTTGTCTACCCTGACTTCCGGCCCAGCGGGAGGGCTAATTCCGGAGCGCCCCAGGAGAGCCCCAGACGGCCCAAGAGGTCCCCTAAGAGGGCCCCAAGACGCGGTCCAACAGGGCCCCAAGTTGCCGAGCGATCCGCCCAAGACTCTCCATGTTCTGGAGGCCTCCAAGATGCTCCAAGAGGCGTCCAGGAGCCCTCCCAGCAGAGCTCCAGGAGGCAACAAACGCGTCGTTCTTTTAGGTCAATATGCGCTTTGTGTCGCATATGTGACTTTTCAGCCTTCTCGGCGTTCATGACGGCCCGAGGGGCCCCCAGATCACCCCAAGACGGCCCAAGAAGCTCTCAAGAGGGCTCTGAAAAGCCCCTGAGAGGGCCACAAGACCGCCCAAGACGCGCCCATGACGGTCCAGGAGGGCCCTCAGAGGGCCCCCAGGGAAGTCCAAGTGGACCAGGCCATCGCCGACAGGACCAGGAGTAGGAAGGCAGGGGAGGGACTGGGGGCATCCTCATTGAATGCAATCCCTATCCCCACGAACCCTGCGCAGTATGTGCAGCGCAGGGGGCGGCGGAACGTCTCCCCATCCCACCATCTTGGGGGGATGCGAAGTCCCTGGAGACGGGACGGGGTGGGCAAGGGCTGGCATCATAGCTGGCCCACAATCAAAAGGAAACGCCACAGCGTCTGCATCATCAACTGCAAGACTGATCCACTCACGGATCCAACTCAATTCCTTTCATGAGCATTGCATCAATGCATGCGAAAAAGCAAGATCTCCCCTACGTTTTCAGGACTGGCCGACTTTTAGGGGGGGATCTCGGGGACCAGGGGGCGAGGAATCTCGAGTAGGGGATCGACTACAGAATTGATTCATCCCAGAGATGATTTGTCTCGTCGAATCCGTGGAGAATTCGTAGCATCGCAGATCTACGAATATTCTGCGTATTCGTGTTGCAGATTCGACGTGAAAGAATTTGGAGGTCAATCAATGATGTTGTCGATCCCCTGCTCGATACTCGCCTGCGGGGGAGCGAGGTCGGGAAAGCAGCGCGCCAAAGCCTCAGGGCGAGCGCCCAGCCCGACCGCCTGCAGGGGTGCCCGCGGCCACGCCTCGTCGCAGCTGCGGTGGCGACGGCCGGATCGAGAGCACCAGGCTCTACACTCTGCCGCATCGCCGATGCAACGGCACGGCGGCGCGATGCTCCGACCCCATCTGCTCTGGCGCATGTGGAAGGCCTAGAAGATCTGTCAGGAGACAAAGAAACACACACAGACACAATTAATCGTCGATTCCCCAGAAAATATGGGAAAATATGTGAAGTGGGGGGGAAGACAAAAACCAAGAGAATACGGGAAAATATGGGGGATCCTTTTATGTGTGTATTTGTTTGTGTGTCCCAGGGCCCCTTCAATCTGAGCGCCCTCAGACCTCGAGGATGCACCTGGCGCCGCGGCCGACCCAGAGCGCCCAGGGAACGCTGCCAGGGCGCTCCAGGGAGCCCTGGCAGGATCTTACCCTCTCCTCCGGCGTCGTGATTTATCGTCGTGGGGTGGGCCCCCAGCGAGGACGTCGACCCTCTCCTCGGGACCAGCTTTGCACTCTCAACCGTTCTTGAACGGTTCCGGTGCGGGGAAAACTGCCTCGAGCGGTCAAAACGCCCCCCACCCAAAAAAGCAATGCGTCGCCCGGATCCGAGCGCATCGTGTCCCCAAGCCCGCCAGAGGCAGGCCCCGGCGATGTCCCGTGGGCGGGGCCACCCCCGAGGGCTCGCCGCGGTCCTCGCAGTACTTCTTCTTGTCCGCCTCCTCGGTGGCCTGCTGCTCCAGCACGGCGATCAGGTCGTTGACCACCTTCTTCGATGCGTCCATGCTGTCCTCGCCGCCTGCGCAGGATCAGCAGGCGTCGACTCGGAAAAACTCGCATCGGATCGGAGTGTGCGTTCCCCGATCGATCGGAATCGGCATCGAATCGGAAAACCAACAATCGGGCCTGGCCACAGCGCACCAGATCTGACCCTGCCTGCGACGGGAATCGGACACTGAAATGGGGTGGATTTTTGCGCAAGCACTAGGCATGCTACACTTCACACTGTCCCTCTGGCCATGGCCCCGCCCACTGAGAAACAACGAGCGGCACGGTCCTGCGTCGAGCGACCTCGACCCCATCGCGCCACCTCGTGTGACCCCAACAACCCACGGAGATTCGCTTCAGCTGTCGCCGCCCGGCTGCCATCGGCCGTCGCAATGGCTGCGGTTAGAGTGAGGCGTGCAAGAACATTGCAACAGCCACGATTAGCTATACAAGGACCGCTAACCTTTCGGGAGGGGACTCAAGCTAGGAGGGCCAACAACGATTGGGGATAAGGGGTCTCTTCTGCAGGTGTCTTGTCTCAGACCAGACCACCAAGATCGATTATCCCTAACGCAGGAGTTGAGGGATGAAAAAACGACCCTGCCCTGGGTTGCAAGTGCGTGGCCTGCAAACCTCCTGGGAACCCCCAAAGCCTAGAGCCGCCAGGACGCGGCACATCACGCAGGGTTTGGCCTGTCGGCCCCACAAGAGTTTCAGCGCACAACGCCCCGTAAACCAGGGTAGGGGCGTTTTTTTACAGCCCTTGAAGGAGGGCACGGGGATGGCCAGGCGGCGAGGCGCCGATGCACGGGGGGGCACGCCCCCCTCCCACCCGCCTGCTCGGTTTCCCTTAGGCCGTAGGCGGCCCGTGGAGGAGGAGGAGGAGGAGGAGGAGGGGGAGGAGGAGGAGGAGGAGGAGGAGGAGGAGGAGGAGGAGGAGGAGGAGGGAGGAGGAGGAGGAGGAGGAGGAGGAGGAGGAGGGAGAGGAGGAGGAGGAGGAGGAGGAGGCGGAGGAGGAGGGGAGGAGGAGGAGGAGGAGGGAGGAGGAGGAGGAGGGAAGGTGGAGGAGGAGGAGGAGGAGGAGGAGGAGAAGGAGGAGGAGGAGGAGGAGGAGGAGGAGGAGGAGGAGGAGGAGGAGGAGGAGGAGGAGAGGAGAGGAGGAGGGGTGGGGGAGGAGGAGGGAGGAGGAGGAGGAGGAGGAGGAGGAGGAGGAGGAGGAGGAGGAGGAGGAGGAGGAGGAGGAGAGGTGGAGGGGAAGGGGGGGGGGGAAGAGGAGAAGGAGGAGGAGGAGGAGGAGGAGGTGGAGGAGGAGGTGGAGGAGGAGGACGAGGAAGGGAGGAGGATGAGGAGGAAGAGGAGGAGGAGGAGGAGGCGGCGGCGGAGAAGGAGGAGGAAGAGGAGGAGGGGGGAGGAGGAGAAGGAGGAGGAGGAGAGGAGGAGGAGGGGAGGAGGAGGAGGAGGAGGAGGAGGGGAGGAGGAGGAGGAGGAGGAGGAGGGGAGGAGGAGGGGGAGGGGGAGGGGAGGAGGAGGGGGAGGAGGAGGAGAGGGGAGGAGGAGGAGGAGGAGGAGGGGAGGAGGAGGACGAGGAGGAGGAGGAGGAGGAGGAGGAGGAGGAGGAGGCGAGGAGGAGGAGGAGGAGGAGGAGGAGGAGGAGGAGGAGGGGAGGAGGAGGAGGAGGAGGAGGAGGAGAGGAGGAGGAGGAGGTTGAGGGGGGCAGGAGGAGGGAGGGGAGGAGGAGGGAGGAGGGAGGAGGAGGAGGAGCAGGAAGAGCAGGAGGAGGAGGAGGAGGAGGAGAAGGAGGAGTTGGAGGGAGGAGGAGGAGGAGGAGGATGAGGAGGGAGAAGGAGGGAGGAGGAGGAGGAGGAGGAGGAGGAGGAGGAGGAGGAGGAAATCAGGGCAGGGGGAGCAGGAGAGCAAACGAGATCGCTGAATCCTCGGCTCCAAGAGTGGAGGGGGACAGGGGTCCCCCTTACAGCGCGGGTGCGGCCGCAGGAAACCCTCGCAAGAAACCCAGCCTTGAGAACCCGCGCGCGAGGTGCACCTGAGGGGAAACCCGGAGCACCCTGAACGCGGCAGCTCCTTCCACGGCCGCGGGAAGGCACCGCGCAGCGCGAGGAGCGAAGAAAGCCAGGACACCCTGACAAAAAGCATATGGCTTCTTGATGCGCGCCCCCACTGTAATGCCAAGATCTATACTGCTGTTCCACCCTTCCCCTCAGGAGCTGAGCAGGGCGCCGCTGGCTCGAGTGCTCTTTCTTGGTTGTGGGGGATACGCGGCAGCCGCACGTAGGGCCATGCGTGACGACGACGATCTCTCTTTCGACCAGCCTCAGCTTACGAGGAGGTTGGGGGGTGGGGCCAGGGAAATATCATCATGCCACCTTGGGAGATCGCTCACGGCTTCACACTCTTACCGCTCACGAAATAAGCACCGACCTCAATGTCACGACGAACCTCGCCACACTGCGATTATCTCGCTTGCCGTTCCGTCCATGCCTGTGATCAGGCGAATGTGTAAGCCCAACATATGCATCAGATATGCGAAAAGCTGGGCAGGGCTACGCGCATCAAGAAAAGCTAAAGACGTGCAGAGCTACTCCAAAGTATGGTCACCCATCGTGCATCTAGGCGAAACTCGAGTGAGGATATCACATCTCAACACAACAACAAAGGGGCCACGGGACCACAGACAACCATACGAACCGAGGTGCACGGACATCCTGCGAGGCCTCTGGCAGTCAGGGGTCCCTGGGCCCCCCTTGGGGCCTCAGAGGCGCGAAAAGGGTACACAAAGGCATGCTGCCTGAACCAAGCTATCCTCGACCCCCCTCCTTCTCCTCCTCGACCCCCGTCCTGACGACGCGCGCAGGCGGCTGGCGCGAACGCGCCACGGCGACCTTCCGGCGCTGCGGGGGGTGCCCTCCGCAGAAGGCGGGGGCCTTTCTAGCATGGCCCAGGAGCCTCCGAGAGGGCTCCTTAGAGGCCAAGGGGGCTTCCAGGCTCGCGCCGCCCGTTCGCTCACGCCGCCCCCCACCCTGAAGACCTGGCGTCGCGATAAAAAATGATCCTGGCGAAGGGCCCAACCAGATGAAGTTCTGGGTACAGCAATTGTGAATATCTTCTTCGGTGAAGCTCCCTATTGGGCCACGCAGCGCCGCGCCGGGCAGGGGGGGGGAACGCATGCGGGCGGTAGCACTGGGGCCGTCGGTGGAGCTCCCTATGAGGCCACGAAACGAGACACTGCGTGGGTGAAAATACGAAACTAGGCGTGTGGGACGCACGCGGGCGGTCCTGTTGGGGGCTTCGGTGGAGCTCCCAATGGGGCCGCGAAGCGTTGTAAACGGTGGGTGAAAATGCCACATTGGGTATGGGGGACGCATGCGGGCGGCCCCACTGGGGGCGTCGGTGGAGCTCCTTATGGGGCCACGAAGCGTTGTACTGGGTCTGTGAAAATGCAACATTGTATGTGGGGGACGCATGCGGGCGGTCCCACTGGAGGCTTCGGTGGAGCTCCCTGTGAGGAACGCATGCGGGCGGTCCCACTGGGGGCTTCGGTGGAGCCCCCTATGGGGCCACGAAGCGCTGTACTGGGTGGGCGAAAATGCCAAATTGGGCATGGTGGACGCATGCGGGCGGTCCTGTTGGGGGCTTCGGTGGAGCTCTCCGTGGGGTCACGAAGCGCTGTACTGAGTGGGTAACAGTACCAAGTTGGGTGTGGGGGACGCATGCGGGCGGTCCCACTGGGGGCTTCGGTGGGGCTCCCTATTGGGCCACGAAACGCTGTAGAGGGTGGGCGAAAATGCCAAATTGGATGTGGGGGGTGCATGTGATGTGGGCGGTACCACTGGGGGCTCTGGTAGAGCCCCCTGTGTGGCCACGAAGCGGTGTACTGGTCGGGTGGAAATGCCAAATTGAGCGTGGGGGGCGCACGCGGGCGGTCCCACTGGGGGCTTCGGTGGAGCTCCCTATGGGGCCACGAAATGCTGCAGTCGGTGGACGAAAATGCCAAATTGGGTGTGGGGGACGCATGCGGGCGGTCCCACTGAGGGGTTTGGTGGAGTTCCCTATGGGGCCACGAAGCGCTGTACTGGGTGGGAGAAAATGCCAAGTTGGGTGTGGGGGACACATGCGGACGGTCCCACTGGGGGCTTCGGTGGGACTCACTCTGGGGCCACGAAGCGCTGCACGGGGAGGAGGAGAGGAGAGGAGGAGGAGGAGGAGGAGGAGGAGGAGGAGGAGGAGGAGGAGGAACGCGGGGACCGTCTCTCCAAAGCGAGGACCCAACAACACAGGTTGGTTGGGAACAATAAAAAAAACGTCCCCAGACTATTTTTGGATTATTTTTGAATATTCCTCCTCTAGGGGGACAAGCCCGCCTTGACGCTAGATGGGGAACGAAAGCCCTTGGTGGCCCCAAAGGCGCCCGAGGTGCTCGAGGAGCGCGCGGGGAAGACCACGGAGCGATTTGGAAGCAGCGAGCGCCCTCCGAACCCCGAGCTTGTCCGCGCCGGCGCGAGGGGCGACACGTATAGGCGCTGAGCGCACACGTTCGGAGGCTCGCGCGGATTCATTGGATCGGCGGTGTGGGGACCCAAAGAAGTATTTGCACCACCGCCACGTCGATTCCTCCTCTCTCCTCTGCCATCCTCTTCCTCTCCTCTTTCCTGGGGGAGGGAGGGGGTGAGGGAGGTGGTGGTGGTGTATATTGTTGGCCCCCCCCCCCTGTGGACCCCTACACCCCTGGCGGCGCTTCCCGAAGCTGAGTAGGTGTATGCAAATGTTTCTGATTCACGGGCGCAGCCCGGAATCTGATTCTCGGGAAGCAAGATCACACAAGCCGTCAGATGGCATTTCTGTTTCCGGGGGTGAGAATATTTCGCTGGCCGTCTGGAGTCAGGAAATTGAGGATATTTCGCTGGCAGTTGTACGCCAGGGCGGTGAGGACATGTCGCTTGCAGTTTTAGGCCAGGGTGGTTCGGATTTGTCGCTAGCAGTTTGAAGCGCGGGTTGTGAGGATACTTCGCCAGCAGTTTTAAGCCATGACGGTGAGGATATGTTGCTGACAGTTTTAGGCCGGGGGCGTGGGGATACTTCGCTGGCAATTTTTAGCGAGGGCGGTGAGGATTCTTCGCTGGCAATTTTAAGCCAGGGGGTTGCTGGCAGTTTTGAGAGACGGGTGTGAGGATATTTCGCTGGCAGTTTAGGACAGGAAGGGTGAGGATATTTCGCTGGCGGTTTTAGGCGAGGGGCGTGAGGATATTTCTCTGGAAGTTTTAAACAATGGGCTGGGAGGATAGTTTACTGGCAGTTTGAATCCAGGGGGTGAGGATATCTCGCTGGCAGCTCTAAGTCTGGAGCGTAATGGTGTTTTGCGGACTGTTTCGCTGGCAGCTATAAGTCAGAACGGTGAGGATATTTCACTGGCAGTTTCAAGCCAGGATGGTGAGGATACTTCGCTGCCAGCTTTAAGCGAGAGGTGTGAGGATACCTCGCTGGCAGTTTGAAGCGAGGGCGGTGAGGATATTTCTCGTTTAGGTTCAAGTCAGGAGGGTGAGGACACTTCGCTGGCAGTTTTCGGACAGGGGCGCGAAGGTTCTTCGCTGGCGGTTTTAGGCGAGGGGTGTGGGGATACTTCGCTGGGATTTGTAAGCGAGGGCTGTGAAGATATATCGCTGACAGTGTTATGCCAGGAGGTGAGGATATTTCGCTGGCAATGTTTAGCGAGGGGTGTGGGGATATTGCGCTGGCAGCTTAAAGCGAGGGCGGGATGATTCCTCGCTGGCAGTTTGAAGCCAGGGGTGTGTGAGAATATAGCGCTTGCAGTTTTGTGCGAGGGTTATGAGGATATGTTGCTGGCAGTGTCATGCCAGGGGGGTGATGATACTTCGCTGGCAGTTGTAAGTGCTGGGTGTGAGGGTATTTCGCTAGCAGTGTAAGCGAGGGCGGTGGTGGTTTTTCGCTGGCAGTTTTGAGCGGGGGGGGTGGGGATGCTTCGCTGGGATGTTTATGCGAGGGCTGTGGGGGTATTTCGCTGACAGTTTCAGGCCAGGGGCGTGGGGATATTTCGCTGGCAGTTTCAAGCGAGGGCGGTGAGGATTCTGCGCTGGCAGCTTTAAGCCAGGGGGTTGAGGATATGTCACTGGCAGTTTTAAGCGAGAAGTGTGAGGATATTTCGCTGGCAGTTGTAAGCCAGGGAGCCCTGCCTTGCTCAGCCGAAGGCTACGCATCCAGCGCGGTGCTGCGCCCGTATATTTGCTCGCCCCTGGGCTTGGGGCTGGCGGGGGGCCAAGGGGCGAGCTGTTTGTTGTTTCTATCATGTCAACGTCTTGACTGTAAATCCTCCCGTTGGGACGCCATAGGCGTGTACGGGACAAACGGGTACGATGCCCTGCAGCATGTTTGGTCCAGAAGCGACAGCGGCCGCTGTTGACCACGCGACTAACTGTCAAAGATGGACAACACTCTCGGCGGCACTGACAGCGAGTCCTGTTCAAAATGGGGAAGAGCTGCTGCCGTTCTTCGTCACAGTGCTTCCCGTACCCATGCCTACCCTCTTAAGCAAGTGCTGCATCTCATGTGAGTTCATCGGCGCCTTGACTGTAATGTAAGGCCAAGGGTTCACATAAAAAACGTTGCGACGAAGAGTGGGCAATGTTTGAGCGGCCAAGATCACCTGCGCCACGTCTCTCGACGTCACGAGAATCATGGCAGGCGACAAATCCTGAAACGCCGCAGCTCCGTAGCCGCCGTAGCCGCCAGCCCAGGGGAGAAGAATCTATGATTCATCTTTCGCCGCCGGGAGCGCTGTCCCCCCACGCCCATTGAGAGGGAACGGGGGGATCCTCCTTCGATATAACGTCAACCGCGCGGCAAGGACGCAAGGGCCTTGGGACGCCATGCCGACACCCTGCGGGCGGGGCGCGGCCAGCGAAAGCGGCCACGGATGGGCCGAAGGGCAATGCTGTAATGGTAAACCTGGAAAGGTGCTCGTCCTCACTGCGCGGGTTGACCGTAGCACCACGGCTCACATGGGGCCCTCCCGCTCCCAAAGCACGCCGGCGCGCCCCGCCTCCTTGGGCCCTGGCGAGCATCCGCAGCGCCCTGCCGGCCTGGCCGCCGGCCAACTGCTGGTGGCGCCTAACGCCGGCCTGCGGGCGCCGGCGTCGGCGTTGGCGGCGCGGCGTCGGCGTCGGCGGCCTCCCAGGCCCCGTCGGCGTCGTCGACGTCGAAGTCGTCGGCGTCGGCGTCGACGTCGTCGGTGTCGGTGTCGATGTCGGCTTCGTCGGCGTCGTCGGCGTCGACACTGTAGACCTCGACGTGGT